CTTGGGATTCTCTCTCTCTCTCTCTCTCCTCTCTCTCTGACTTTCGCTCTCTCTCTCTCAAATAAAGTAAACTTAAAATAATGAAAAATAAACCGAAAGCTTAGAAGGAAATCAGACTTTCTCAGCTGACCCTAAGGTATAGTGTGAAAGCCCTCGGGGTGGCCCAGCTTCTTCATTTTACGGATGAGGATCCCGATTCCTGGAGGAGCTCAAAGCCACATGGTGGGCTTGAGGCAGAGCTGGGGTGGGCTCCCAGGGCCTTCAAGTCCAAGGCTCCTCTGTTAAGACCCAGGAAGCCCAGCATGCAACCCTGCAGACAGGACACGTGGACATTCTCCCATCCTTTTCTGAGGCCTCATGCTCGGCTCTGTCTCCACTGCACAGGCCTTGGTCTCTTATCATCAAGAATGAAAAGCTGAGCCATTTTCCTTACCTGCCCTATACAGTTGCCCCATCTCTTATCTCAGACACGCCCAAGACCCCTATGGCTCCCCTTTGCCCTCTGCTAACTAAGAGGAGTTATCTTAAGACTTTGACTGTGGGCTTACATCCATATGTCCTTGTCCTGTCTTCTCAGTAATGAAGGCTCTGAAAGGATCTGGAGCTTTGGAAGCAGCCGGAAGCCCCTGGACTCTGTGCTGGGGTCACCCGAGTTCTGGGGCTCCCCCCTTCTAGGGGTGTAGACTAGTGCTCACATATGGAGACATAGAGTTGGCAATTCTGGGTTCCCCTCCAGCACTCCACTGGGGCCCTGGGCAAGTTACAAGACATTGAACTTGGGCTTCCTCATCTGAAAATGTAGATGCTAATAGTGGTGAGTTTTCATAATACCTACTGTATTACCTACTGACACACAGATAGTGCTTTCCATGTGCTGTTCTAAGCCCTTAACATAAATTAACTCATTTAGTTCTCACATAAGCTGTATGAAGAAGCCTATTATTGTCATAGGGAAGCACAGAGGTTAAGTTACTTGCCTAAGGTCACACAGCTAGAGTGGCAGAGCCAATATTCATACCGTGGCTCCGAAGTCCATGGAACCCCTGCCCTCTGTTGCATGGACTAATATTTGTCAAACTCTTAACACAAGGTGGCACAGAATAGGCACCCAGGAAAGTTTTTCAGGTTGCTCGAAGTCTGGAGGGTCTTCTACTGGCCCCTGGCTACCCCTAACCCCCAGTCACTCCAGCCCCTGAGTTCTTTCTTTCTGTAAAATTTTTTTATTATGGTAAAGTACACAATAACAATATTTACCCTTTTTATGTTTACAGTTCAGGGGCACTAACCCCATTGCATTGTTGTGCAACTGTCCCCATCACCCACCTCCAGAACGTTTTCATCTTCCCCTTCCGAAACTCTGTACCCATGAAACACTGACTCCCCATTCCCTCTCCCCCTGCCCTGCCCCATCACCTGGCATCTCATTTTCTATTTTATGGCTGTGAATCTGACTATTCTGGGTACCTCACGTAAGTGGAGTCATACAATATTTGTTCTTTTTTCTCTAGCTTGTTTCACTTAGCATAATGTCTTCAAAGTTCATCCATGTTGGGGCACACGTCAGAATTTCATTCCTTTTTAAGGGTAAATAATATTCCATTGTACATGTATGCCACATTTTGTTTCTGCATTCATCCATCAGTGAGTATTTGGGTTGTTAGCATGGATCCTGTGCTAATTCTGTGTTTGGATTTTTTTTTTAATTTTTTAATCTATTTGAGAGAGAAAGACAGAGCATGAGGAGGGGAGGGACAGAGAGAGAGGGAGACACAGGATCCAAAGCAGGCTGCAGGCTCTGAGCTGTCAACAGAGCCCGACTCGGGGCTCGAACCCACGAACCATGAAATCATGACCTGAGCCGAAGTCGGATGCTTAACCGACTGAGCCACCCAGGCGCCCCCTCTATGTTTAGATTTTTGAGGAATTGCCATACGTTTTTCCACAGTGGCTGCACCATTTTACATTCCCAAGCCCCTGACTTCTTATGATCCCCTCATTTTCTCCATTCCGCCCCCGCCAGTAATGATTTCTCCCATGCTTCATTCTTCTATTGCATTCTTCTTTTGCAACATGAAGACGTTGAAGCCGAGATGGCCATTTGTGGCATCATGGACGGACCTTGAAGGCATTATGCTAAGTGAAATGAGTCAGGCAGAGAAAGACAAATTCTCCATGAACGCATCTATAGATGGAATTTTTAAAAGTTTATTTATTTATTTGTTTATTTTTTTTAACGTTTATTAATTTTTGAGACAGAGAGAGGCAGAGCATGAACAGGGGAGGGGCAGAGAGAGAGGGAGACACAGAATCCGAAACAGGCTCCAGGTTCCGAACCATCAGCACAGAGCCCGACGCGGGGCTCGAACTCACGGACCGTGAGATCATGACCTGAACCAAAGTCGGACACTTAACCGACCGAGCCACCCAGGCGCCCCTGTTTGTTTGTTTAGAGAGCAGGGGAAGGGCAGAGAGAGAGGGAGAGAGGGAGAGAGAGAGAGAGAGAGAGAGAGAGAATCCCAAACAGGCTCTGCACTGTCAGCACAGAGCAGGATGCGGGGCTCAAACTCATGAACCATGTAGTCATGACCTGAGGCGAAACCAAGAGTTGGATACTTAACCGACTGAGCCACCCGGGCGCCCCATCTTTTCTTTTTAATTGTATCTGTGTGAGAAGACGGACGTTCGCTGAGCCCATGGTGGTAGTCATTTTACCATCCACTTACACCATCATGTTTGTCAATTCTTTTTCAATAGAAATGGACAGAAATTAATTATCCATTGAAAAAAAAAAAAAGAGCTGAGATAGTCCTAGTCAAATGTGACCCCGTTTTCGAACGAGGAAGCTGAGGCCCAAAGGTGGGAGGTGGCTGGCCCACAGTTGTCGCACAGAAAGAGCCAGGGTGGGACTTTTGTGACTCCCAGGCCAGTGTTCTTTTGTGACTCCACTAATCCACGGCTCAGTTGCCCAGTGAGTACAGGAGCCACCCGTGTCCGTTCATGGTCCCACCTGGGCGTGCCACAGAGGACTCCTCGGAGTCCAGGGGCGAGGCCGGGAGAGGGGCCGCCAGACCAAGGCCCCGGGAGGGAAACAGGCTTTTCAGAGCAGACGTGTGCTGGAACAGAGCTTCACCCCTTCTCTTGCGCAGGAGAAGCCACCCTACAACCTCAAGGCTTTCCACCTGCGCATCAACTTCCCTGAGGACTATCCGTTCAAGCCCCCTACGGTGACATTCACCACCAGGATCTACCACCCCAACGTGGGCCACAATGGAGAGGTTTGCCTGCCCATCATCAGCAAGGAGAACTGGAGTCCTTACACCAAGACCTGCCAAGGTGGGGCTGGGCCTCGCCTAACAGGAGGGTCTGATCCTGGAGGAGAGGCGATGGGACTGATTTTGAATCAGAAAACGCCCCAAAGAGGGGAGATAAAAATGGTGGGTCTCAGCTGAGCCTGTCTTCAGATAGAAGGGATGCGTCCTGAGATCCTGGGCCTGCTGACCTGGTCCTGCCTCAGCTTTCTACCTGGGCAGGTGGGACAGAGCAGCGTGGCCACGGGTCTGGGAGGGACGGGCTCTGTTGCTCTGTCTGCGGACCTTGCCGAGGTCTGCTCCTTCGCAGGCTCAGAGCCCGAAATGACAGTTGAGGGGATTGGCCCAGTAATGGCAGTACGTGTGGATTAAATGCTTTCTGCCCTGTGCCAGGAGCTTCACACACCACCTTCATCCAGTCCCCAGCAGCCCCGTACGGAGTGCTCTCACTGCCCATTGCATAGATGAGCACAGTGAGGCCTGTGGTAAGTGAAGCACTGGCCTGTGCTCGTCCCGCTGTCAGGTGGCAGAGCTGGGACTCACAGCCGGGCTTGGCTGACTCTAGACCAGCACTACCCTGCAGAACTTTCTATAGTGATGGAAATGATCCGTGGCTGCCCTGTCCACTTCCCTAGCCTCTGTGACAGGTGGCGATGGAGCACCTGAAGTGTGGTCCTGCGACTGATGTGAATTCCTGATTGCAGTTCATTTTAATTCCTTTCAATTTAGAGATCTGCATGTGGCTAGTGGCTACCATATTGGACAGTGCATTTCTATAGAGTCTGTGAATGTCATCGGTGCGTGAACCAACTCAGGAATTTTTTTTTTTT